TAATGTCCTTACTTGATATGATGCACGTAGGCGTGGATGCAAGTGCATCCGGAGAGCGAGAGTTCGAGTGCGAGTCCAGCCGAGATGGCCACTGGTAAGCACCATGTGAGCGACGAGCAGCTGCGTCGAGTGACAAGGATGGTGAATCGGGCCCTCCGTGTGAGTGCGGAAGACCACGGTGGCGAAAACATCTCATTCGGAGGTGCGAGACGGACTGGCCGACAGATAGACCAGACAGATGAAAGACAGCACACGGCTGGCTACGTGGCTTGTCTTCTGCCTTCCTGATTGATGTGTGTTGCGATGCGGTCAGTTCGTGAGATTACGGAGATTGCGGTCCGTGTCACGACTTCATCAGTCAACGACCCACACGCAGCGGTCGTGCCATCGATCGCATCAGCGAGCTCTTCAAGGACATCGTACGCAACAAGCTCCATCGTCACTTCATCAGAATCGGCCATCGTCACTTCATCAGAATCGGCGGCGTAAGTGCGCCCATGCGAGAAGAGCAGAGACGACATGCACTGTCTGTGCTTTCTGTCTATAAATCTTGTGCGTGCATGTGTGTGTGTGTATGCTTAGAAACTCTACGTCACAATGCGCTCATGGACGTTCGAAGAACTACTCGCCATGTCCATGCACAGCCTGCGATTCTACTGCCAGAAAGACCTGTTCGTCACGGTGCGCCTGATCGACATGCTTGCTGATCTCGGCTTCATTTGCATTCAAGGCAAGAATGGGCGGATTGCTACGCCCGCCGGCTCATCACTAGCAAGCCCAGACGGGTTCAAAAAGCGGCTGTCCATCGTCAGGACTCATGTCAATGAGCTCACCAAAGATGCGCGCAGCCATTACAATAATGAGAACAGCACCGAAAGAAGGGAGATTGATCGAGCTCGCGATCGGGCGCGGGATCTCATGAGGGACGAACAGTCAAGCTCAACGATAGCACATGCTAGGGTCCTGTCCATGTCAACAATAAGGATTTTGTCCTTTGCATAAATGGCGTGTGTTTCCCACGGGTTTCTGTTGGTGCTCTCGTTTTGACACATTGTGTGTCTTTTTTCCATCTGTCTGAATGGGCATCCAATCGGGAGCCTTGGTGCTTGCTCGCTTGCTTGTGAAGTGCAGGTTGTGTCTGTCTGTGTGTCTGTGTTTTGGCGACCTCATGTGTGTGTATACATGTGTGGGCGGGCTGCCGTTCCTCGACTTGAGTACGCGTCGTTCAATCAGTAAGACAGTGTGTGAGGTGTCGCGTCATGTCGCACGTGTGCCTCAGAGACAGAGGCATTCATCACATACACTCTGTCCAAGTCCAAACGTGCATGCGCAAGTTGCGCGTACCGATTCATCACATACACACACACACACGCGCGCGCGCTCCAAGGCGACGCGTGCATGCGCAGGTGTGCATACAGAGACATTCATCAGATACATACACTCCAAGTCCAAACGCATTTGCAGGTGTGCGTACAGAGACGTTCATCAGATGCACAGCCCTCCAAGTCCAAACGTGCATGCACAGGTGTGCACAGGGCGACATTCCTTATATACACACACCCCAAGTCCAAACGTGCATGCGCAGGTGTGCGCACAGAGACATTCATCAGGTACACACACTCCAAGCCGACACGTGTATGCAAAGTGTGCATTCATCACATACACACACTCCAAGTCCAAACGTGCATGCGCAGATATGCACACAGAGACATTCATCAGGTAGACACACTCCAAGTCCAAACGTGCATGCGCAGGTGTGCGCACAGAGACATTCCTTATACACACACAATCCAAGTCGACGCGTGCATGCGCAGATATGCGCAGAGAGACATTCATCAGCTACACACACTCCAAGTCCAAAGATGCATGCGCAAGTGTGCGCACAGAGACGTTCCTTATACACACACACTCCAAGTCGACGCGTGCATGCGCAGGTGTGCGCACAGAGACAGAGACATTTATCACATACACTCACTCCAAGTCCAAACGTGCATGCGCAAGTTGCGCGTACCGAGACATTCATCATACACACACACACACACGCGCTCCAAGGCAACGCGTGCATGCGCAGGTGCGCGGCAGCCTCCTGCGCGCCGCGCCAGCCCCCCCATCCAACACTCGATTGACAGACCGGCAGACAGACAGACAGATAGATCCATTCTTGATATTTCTTACATGGCCGCCCCAGTCCCTCGTTTCTTCTCAACTGACGTACGTACGCTTCCATGGTGTCCGTCTGTCCACGCCCAAGGCAGACAGACACCATGCAAGCGAGCC